ACCAACTTTCCACACTAACGGTTGTTTCCCTCTGTCAAGACCACGGGGTGGCTTAGCCGTCTCCACGCGACCTCCAGCCCGTAGACGCCATCGTCCTCTGGCCTCACGTTGTTAATACGGAGCCACACGGTCTTGAAGCTCGAGTCATTTGATGGCTGCACGCGGCCTTGGTAGCGAGCCGAGGTGTCCACATTTAGGGCCCAGGAGGGGGCTGTCGATGGGCCTCATTGCGCCAGCCTCCAAACACAACGCTTCCACACAGTCCACCACTACCACCACTAACACCAACACAGCTACTACTACTATGATCAATGCTACCAATACAACCACCCATAAGCCATAGTCCAACACTACCACCAACCATTACCAAACAGTCCACCACTACCAGCAACCACTACCCCACAGTGCACCACTACCAGCAACCACTACCCCACAGTCCACCACTACCACCAACCACTTCCACACAGTCCACCACTACCACCAACCACTACCCAACAGTCCACCACTAACAACAACCACTTCCCCACAGTCCACCACTACCAACAACCACTACCCCACAGTCCACCACTACCACCAACCACTTCCCCACAGTCCACCACTACCACCAACCACTACCCCACAGTCCACCACTACCACCAACCACTACCCCACAGTCCACCACTACCACCAACCACTTCCCCACAGTCCATCACTACCACCAACCACTTCCCCACAGTCCACCACTACCACCACCGATAAACGCCACAGGCAGTCACCGACAGACACCTGCTCCACTACCACGACCAGCAACATTATCACCACCACCAAAAATAAAAAGACAAATATCCCCCATATAGCTGTTGAGGAAAGTGCTGTAAGCGAGCACCTTTTAAGGTTGGCACTTTGACACAACAAAACAGGTGTTAAGATGTTAAAATACCAAACTGAAATCTGTTACAGGAAATCATGTCTGCATTAACCACAATACTTGTGGTGAAAATACAAACAAAAAACATACTCTGACAGTATATGCATTGTTTTTGAAACTGATTGGTCCACACCAAAGACAATTTTTTTTAGAGCCTAGTCTCAAACAGTGTTAGACCATATACTATCAGAGCATGTTTGTATTGTCACCACAAGTGTCTGTGGTTAATGCAGACATGATTCCTTGCAAAAGGTTTCAGTTTGGTGTTTTAACATCTTAACACCTGTTTTGTTGCCAGAAAAAAGGAGAAAACCTATTCTCATATTTTGACACTAACAAAGGAGGTCCCATGATGAAGTTCGACAGTTTTTCATTTGAAGAATTAGTGGAAGAGGCCTCGCTCAATCGAGCCCTTAGGCCTTCGACGTCGATCATCTGTCGGCATCTTTCTTCCTCTACGGCTGTCGCTTGGGAGCCAGTTTCATGGACACCATTGACGATCCCGGACACGCACAATTATTTATTCAATCACGTGCCAATTCTAAGACCATGGACATTGCCATGACGTTTTGTTCATAATAATGGTTTATGGGTTAGATCGCGAAAGTATAAATGCATCACAATGCTCCACCACCCGACACGGCCAATCAGTAAAAAATGCGTGACGTTACCAAAACGCCAATTAGTTATTTCTTTAGCCCACCGGTGTGTTTGAAGGGTGAATCCACAACATTCTGAATGTTGTGGATTCTAAATGGTATAGTGTAGTGTAGTTATTGTGGTAGTGTAGTATGTAATGTATAGTGTGTAGTGTATAGGATGTAGTGTGTATTGAAGTGTGTATTCAAGTGTTGAGTGGTGTATATCGTGTTGTGTATAGTGTATAATGTAGTGTGGTGTCATGTTTCGTGTAGTGTATGGTAGTGTAGAATATGTAGTGTTTTAAATTAATATTCTTGGTTCTTTCGGTAAAGAAAGAACCAATTGTGTATTATATTCTATAGTGTAGTATGTATTGTAGTGTATAGTAGTGTAGTGTATAGTGTAGTGTATAGTAGTGTAGTGTGTATTGTAGTGTATAGTGTAGTGTATAGTGTGTATTGTAGTGTATAGTGTAGTGTATAGTAGTGTAGTGTGTATTATAGTGTATAGAGTAGTGTATAGTGTGTATTGTAGTGTATAGTAGTGTAGTGTGTATTGTAGTGTATAGTGTAGTGTGTTTTGTAGTGTATAGTGTAGTGTATAGTAGTATAGTGTGTATTGTAGTGTATAGTGTAGTGTATGTATGTTGAACTTCTTTCGCACATTACGTAGCAAATCGTGGTAAATCGGATGTGTGGGGGGAAGGGCAACAAACAACAACAGCAGTTCCAAAGAAATTCGTTTTAAATTTTGGAAAGGGTGTAGTGTAGTCTATAGCGTAGTGTATTGTAGTGTCATGTACAGTGTCGTGTATCGTCGTGTTTATAGTAGTGTATTGTGATGTGTAGTTTAGTTTATTGTTGTATAAAGTACAATGTAGTACATAACTGTTTGCTGTCGGCATCTTTCTTCCTCTGTGTGTTGTGTAGTATATAATAGTGTCGTATGTATTGTGTAGTGTAGTCTATAGTAAAATAATAAAAATAAAACATAATAAAATAATTCTCACGACGTTTCGGCCACAACGCAAGCAGCCGTCCTCAGGTGGAGAACAGGTCTGTCGAGAAGACAAAGTCTGAATGACACGCCCCAGGCTTGGAGCGACTATTTAAGCTGGGATTGAGGGGCGAAGAGCGCCTTGACAAAATAATTTGCATATCAAGAGGAATTTAGCATATTTATGGGAAATGCAGATATGCGATTAAGACTACTTGTGAAATGCGTAGGATCCCTGCAGTCACGAAAGCTTTAAATCGAAATTTAGTCTAGAGTAGTCTAGTGTATTGTGGCGTATAGTGTAGTGTATAGTAGTGTGGTGTGTAGTGTATAGTAACGTGGTGTGTATTGTAGTGTATAGTGTAGTGTATGTATGCTGAACTACTTTTGCACCATACGTAGCCAACCGCGCTAATCGGAGGTTCCAGGTGGAAGGACAACTAACTAAACACTAGAAGCTGCAATTCCAAAGACATTAGTTTGTTAATCCAGATGATTTAAAAGTGCATATCTCCAGTGACTTCCTAATTTCCCGGACTGTGCTTTATACCCCCGATAATTTTATATTGTTTTTTATGATAACGCGTTTTTTTCTCACATAACGTGGTGTTATTCAGGAACGCTACACCTACTGCCGTTATAGGATAACAGGACTGTACGCTGATGTGTAGGCATGTGTGTGTGTATCTGTGTGTAGTGGTTAGCACACTGCGCTATGAACCCGGCGACCCAACTTCAAACACAAGTGACGATTATCTGAACCGGTCATGAGCTTCCCCTAGGTCAGGGGTCGGCAACCTACGGCTCCGGAGCCGCATGCGGCTCTTTACGGGCTGCTTCTTGACGATATGTACGTATGTACAGTATGTACTCAGATGCATTGCGGCTCTTGAAATACTGAATTTTGTACCGAATTGGAAAGAAATGGCTCTTCTTGTTATTTTGGTTGCCGACCCCTGCCCTAGGTAGACTCAGACTCAAATTAGTACCTGGTGTGGTGTCTAAACATTGCCACTAGGGAGACAAAGGCAGCCGTGCGTGGTGCTGGCCACGGACCCTCTCGTGTGCCGTGCAGACCTTCATAGGTGCTCGCTAACAGTACTTGCCCCAACACTCTGTTCAGCCTATACGGGGGATCTTTATTTTGTTTTGGATCTCAGACATCTCAGTCAGGCAAGCCATGGCAACCCATGTAGTGTATATTAGTGTACTATATAGTTGTGTATAGTAGTGTATAGTAGTGTGGTATATAGTAGTGTATAGTAATATAGTGTAAATTAGTGTAGTATATAATAGTGTAGTATATAGTAGTGTATGGTATACTAGTGTAGTATATAGTAGTGCGGTGTATAGTGTCGTGTATAGTAGTGTACAGTGTGGTGTATAGTAGCGTATAATGGCGTAGTGTATAGTAATGTAGTGTATAGTAGTGTAGTGTATAGTAATGTATTGTAAACTAGTGTAGTATATAGTGGTGTAGGGTATACTAGTGTAGTATATAGTAGTGTAGTACATAGTGTGGTGTATAGTGTCGTGTAGTGTATAGTGTGGTGTATAGTCGTGTATAATGGCTTAGTGTAAATAATGAAGTGTATAGTAGTGTAGTGTTTAGTCGTGTCTAGTAGAACCCCTCTTAATGACTATCCCTATTAACGACTAAGCACTTATCGAGGGGCCTCCATAAATCCCAATGTGTAGCTTATAGCAGTGTATAGCGTAGTGTAGTGCATCCTAAGAGCCCAATGCGTTCACTTACCGACCATTACCCTGTTAATGGCAGGCTGTTGCAGGTTACCGCAAATATGAATAAATGCATTGATTAACCATGTTCTTTAATAGTATGTGTTTACAATGTTGTTACTAATTTTAGGGTATTCATATCCAATGTTTAAATACTATAAAGTACGTTTTTTGGTGAAAAAGTGTTAACTTTCGATGCTAGCGGAATGAATCAAGCTGTTGACGGGCATTTGCATATCCTCGCTTAACGACCAAATCACTAAATGACCGGTTTCATGGAACCAATTACAGTCGTTAAGAGGGGGGATTCTGCTGTATCGTATAGGGGTTGTAAAGCACAGGTCCGCGATAATGCGCGAGATTATGCGTAACACAGGGCTAATACAAACTAAACTCTTCTTATTGTTACCAGGTAAGGTCCACTACTGAGCAGTGCAGCTCTTTATCAGAAGCGAAGTGGCCATCGCAAAGGATAGCTCAACCAAGTGGGCTTATCATCATCTTCATCATCAACATCACGAGGAAATGTATCACGGACAAAATAGTCTGAACATGTGATGATGTTGATTCTAAATGTGGAGCGGAAAAACCGGAAGACCAGGAGTAAAAATCTTCGCGACCACGGGGAGAGAGGGAGAGATGCACACTACAAAAAAATTGCAGGCATCAGGGTCCGGATCGAACCCACAACCTTCTGTATGCCAGGTGAGGTAACTAACATTTCATAGAATTAAGGGTTTCCTGGTGGGTAGCATCAGCTAGAAGCATCCAGCAGCATCCCAATGCCTTGTGAGATGATGATAATGATGAGGATGCTAAACCGAGGCAACAGCCGTTACAACCACCACTTATTCCTACTCGCTGGCAACATCGTTCCATTTCCACTCAATCGCGTTATATATATTAAATTTGCACCCGTGTTAAAATAAATAATATATAATTATAGGGGGTAAAGCACAGTTCGCGTTAACGCACGAGATGATGCATAAAAGCAGGCCCTGAACAAAGACCGAGAGTGAGTGTGTGTGGGTGGCATCTACTAGAGGTAATCAAGCTGCATCCCGATACCTTGGGTGATGACACTACGCCGAGGCAACAGCCGTTACAAACCCACCGCTTATTCCTACTGGCACGCAACGTAGTTAAGTTCTGCTCGATCACGTTACGATGACTAATAAATAACATGTAATAAAGCACAGTCAGCGATAACATGTGAGATGATGCGTAACAAAGGCTAAACAATGACTGAGGGGCCCGTGTGTGTGGGTAGCATGAACTAGAGTTATCCAGCTGCATCCTGATGCCTCATTATGATGATGCTACGCCGAGGCAACAGCCGTTACAAACCCACCGCTTATATCCTACTGGCGCGCGACGCAGTTCCGTTCAGCTCAATCGCGTTACACATATATATCCAATTCGCGTTGCGAACACACAAGCGTTATAGGAGAATGCACCATATGTGTCTGTGTAGCGAATGAGTAAGTGAGTGCATGTGCGCCAGTGTGTGTGTGTGTGCGGCGTATGCACCAGTGTGTGTTGGGTGTGTGTGTGTGCCATGAGTGTGTAGCTCGAATCTTCAGTAGGCTGTACAGTGGCCTAGAAAAATAATACAAACACACGAGAAAACATTAAAACGCGGAATTTCATTCACATTTCATCAACATACATAGTGTATGTAAATTATGTTGAGTCTATGGGTAGTGTTGAGTCTATGGGGGGTGTTGAGTCTATGGGTAGTGTTGAGTCTATGGGCAGTGTTGAGTCTATGGGCAGTGTTGAGTCTATGGGCAGTGTTGAGTCTATGGTGCAGTGTTGAGTCTATGGTGTAGTGCTGAGTCTATGGGACAGTGTTGAGTCAATGGGCAGTTTTGAGTCTATGGTGCAGTGTTGAGTCTATGGTGCAGTGTTGAGTCTATGGTGTAGTGCTGAGTCTATGGGACAGTGTTGAGTCTATGGGCAGTGTTGAGTCTATGGTGCAGTGTTGAGTCTATGGTGCAGTGTTGAGTCTATGGTGCAGTGTTGAGTCTATGGGCAGTGTTGAGTCTATGGGGCAGTGTTGAGTCTATGGTGCAGTGTTGAGTCTATGGTGCAGTGTTGAGTCTATGGTGCAGTGTTGAGTCTATGGTGCAGTGTTGAGTCTATGGTGTAGTGCTGAGTCTATGGGACAGTGTTGAGTCAATGGGCAGTTTTGAGTCTATGGTGCAGTGTTGAGTCTATGGTGCAGTGTTGAGTCTATGGTGTAGTGCTGAGTCTATGGGACAGTGTTGAGTCAATGGGCAGTTTTGAGTCTATGGTGCAGTGTTGAGTCTATGGGCAGTGTTGAGTCTATGGGCTTTAAGAGAGGAGTGGAAGAAGGTAAATGTACAGGAGGAAATTAAACATCTCAATAAAGATGCAGAACGACCGGATTTCAGAGGTCAGTCTAAATTTTTTAAATCTAATTCAAAACGAAGGTCGCAGCAACCCCGGGAAACCACAATAAGTATTTATACTGCTGCAGGAATCCGATGAGCTATAAAGCGCTTTGTTTCCCGGATGTGTGGTATGGCAGCATGGGGTCAGAACGTTACAACAGCAACCACGATAGGAGTGTAAAGTACAAGAAACGTTAAACAAATCACCCAGACACAAATTGAACTAAACCATCACCGCCATCCTTACGAAGCCAGATCCCCACTGAGGTATATCTATTTTCAGAAGCGTACATGGCTCATCTAAGCAATGGTAGCCACCCAACAAGAAACGACACTACTATACGCACAACGTTTCCCATCATCATCTTTCGAGCTGCGACGTTCATTCTAAATGTGGAACGGGATAAACAATCCACGCGACCATCTTCACGGGGAGAGAGAGACACAGGGGTGCAAACTCCAAATGTACAGCAGCAGGCATCGTCAGAGTCCGGGATCGAACCCCTCGACCTCCTGCATACTCGGCGAGGGAGTATATACACACTACACTAAACATACTATTACACTACCCACTACACTATACACACACTACACTACACTCAATAGTACACTATACACCACACTATATACTATACACAGACTACACACTACACACATTATACCATAGACACACTATACACTACACTATACACTACACTACTATACACTACACTATACACACCCGCTACGTTACACTATTGCACTTTACTATACACACACTACACTAAACACAACGCTACTATACACTCCTAGTGCACCATGGCACCCAAGCAGATACTCCTCATGTGATCTAGACGGTTTCTCCGTCAATGATCTAAAATATATTATTTGGTTCTTTCGGTAAAGTCACGTAGAAAAAAATAATAATAAAGTGATTAAAAAAATATATATAAAAACCACGAAGTTTCGATCGCAACACAAGCGACTGCTTGAAACATCTTAGTTTTTATTTTATTAATTGTATATTTTTTTTACTTTATTATAATTTTTCTTCGATCTCCGTGACTTTACCGAAAGAACCAAAGAATACTGCCCATAGACTTAACACTGCACCATAGACTCACTCAACACTGCAGTCACGAAAGTTTTAAGTCAAGATCTAAAAACAATTACCATTGACCTCGGCTTTCAGAAAACTCCAAATGCATCTACCTTGATTGAGGCCATTCTCCCGTTTCGCTCTCCCCGTCTGCCCTCATCCGTTATGCCCAGAAGTTCCTGCTTTGCCTCCGCTGCTGCTGCTGCTTTGCTGCTGATGCCTGTGAAAGACGACGGGCTCGGTTATTGAACGGTTAACAAAGGACAATAATGTAAGTAGGAACATTTGATATTGCGCACTCTGGTGAGTCTAGTCCATCACGAATGCGCATTAATCACACGTTGAAGTAGGCTCTCTGAAACAACAACAACAGCAACACTGGTTTGAGTCTTATTCTTTGGGTGTTTCGGTAAATTAATAAAAATAAACAAAAAACCACGACGTTTCGATTATTACTTTTGACCGTATCTATGTGACTTTACCAAAACACCCAAAGAATATTAATTTCTGCAGTCACGAAAGCTTTAAGTCAGGATTTGTTTTGAGTCTATTGCGGAACTGGCTCAGACTCAGAAATGGATCCCGAATATTAGCTGGTGGCATGACTCCAGGTCTTTGGACTGCTGACCCAGAAACTGAGGTGGCCGTATCGTGCACGAGGTTTACACGCGGGGTGTATAGCAGCAGGCCGCCGTGAGCCCCGGATCGTAGTTGGACTCGACTTGGGTCTGTTGATGCTGGATAGACACTGATCAATGAGATAGGACGGAGCAGATTGATGGCGACTCTTGAAGACGAGTGGGCATAATTTTTACACAATCCTGGAATTAATAGATAGCCAGTGCAGCTCATCACGTATCAAACTCGTGATCGGATTACATTTCTGTTTCGTAACTATCAGACGAGCTACAAGCATTTAACACCGACTGGAGTGGGCGCAGGTTAACAGTGCTTGTACAGCTGAAGATGCTGTCCACGCGGCTGATGATGAACGCGTGGATGAGCTTCCTCGTAGTCTCCACAGTTAGAGCATGATGGACTGTGCAGCAGTCGTCGAATAATAATAATTAAAATCTACAATGCCCATTCCCCCTGGTAAACCATTTTTTTCCCCCACGATCCGAACGGCAAAGTTTTTTAAAGTGAGGAAGCGGGGAGGTTATCTTTTTTTTCTGGCGGAATGTTACTTGTAGATTTTGGCAGACGTACAAAAGAGTGCAGGGTGCAATTCCACCACGTCCTGCTCTCTCGCAACGCGCGGCTACTTAGTGGTAGTTGCGTTATGGGAAATAATAGTAATAATTTATATATATCTAGGATTTAAGCTTTCGTGACTGCAGGAACTACTATACTCATTGGTTTGTTCGGTAAAGTCACGTATGTAGAAATAAAATATGAAAATTAAAATAGATCACGACGTTTCGAATGAAACACAAGCGCTCGTCCTCAGGTGAAAATGGCGTAAATCACACAGCGAGGGAACACACAGAGGGACATCACACACAGAGCACACAAAGAACGAAAAAACCATGCAGTTTGCCGTTCTCTGTGTGCTCTGTGTGTGATGTCCCTCTGTGTGTTCCCTCGCTGTGTGGTGCATGCCATTTTCACCTGAGGATGAGCACTTGTGTTGCATTCGTAAAGTCGTGATCTATTTAATTTTCCAATGAGTATCATTTATATATATCGTGTCACTCATGCAACTGCATCCCGCGACGCCGTAACATCAAATTAGCCAGTCCCTTTTGTGACCCGTGCCCACTCTGCCTCGATAATTCCTGCCGTGATCGTTATTGAGGACACTGGGTGATCATCAAATGAAATAAAAGCTTTGGTAGCACTCTGCGTTGTTTTCCTCGGTTCCCCTACATGATCCTCCTCTGTCAACTGTGACACGACTCTCGCTCCAAACAAGGCCACGTGTACCCAAAGAGGACTTTCTGAGCGGTTGACGAGGATCCAAAATAGAATCGGTTTATTCGTCCGGCTCACAGCACTCAGGTACACCAATCGACCTGTAATGCCAACGTGCTGGCACGATGATATCTTCTCTTCAAAATCCTTGTCCGGTGGTCAAGTGACTATGGGAATTGAGTCACGTGCCTGCCTATTCTGAGAGGTTGATGAAGGGTCATGGACTAACGTAACACCCAAATCCCAAATGATCCTAAGCCAACCTTGATCCGGTAACGCTCGCGACATTTAACGACGACTGATTATATTGTAGTGCGAATATATATGCACCATTTATTAGGAACACAACCACACTGGCTACACTTTCAAACAGATAACAAGACAGCAAACGCAATACCTCCCACTTACTTAGCAAAAAAAAAAGATGAATAAATGAATTATGCGCGAGAGAAAAAAAAATGCACTGTAACGAGAAGACATTTTTCAGCAAAAGAGAAAATAAATAAAAATAAAATAAATCTGTTCGGTCGCCATACCCCCAGATACTCATCCCAATATTCTGGCGGATTTATGAGAGGGAGTGGTGAAGTGGCCAAAAAGTTACCAGCCAGTTGGACTATAACATATCAATGCAGATTATCCCGCGTATGCCTGGACAGATTTGAATAATCAAATACATATTTTTAATCTTTTATTTTATTTTCTTTACCTACGTGACTTTACCGAAAGAACCAAGAGCATGGATCCTTGCAGTCACGAAAACTTCAAATCGAGAAAAGATTTTAATAAGTGCATTAATTTGTCAGGATGTGTAGCCGGAGGGAGTGATCGAGACTTTGGAGGCCTGCACGTGTGAACGAGATGGTACGTAATAAAATATAATCAACAGGGGGCGATAGGCACAGTCCCGTGACATTAGGAAGCCACTGGAGCTATGCACTTAAAAATAAAAACTGGACAGGAAACTAATTTATTTAGAATAGCTGCTCGTTGTGGTGTTTAGTTTGTTGTTCTTCTCGCCGCACCTCCAAATTAGCACGGTTGGCTATGTACGGTGTGAAAGAAGTTCAACATAAACACATTACACTATCCACTACAATACACACTACACTATACACACTACACAGCACACTACACAACACACTACACTCTACACTATACACACTACACTGCACACTACACTACACACTGCACAATACATACAATACACTATACATTACAATATAAATACACTACACACTACACTATACACACATGCTATACACTACACGAAACACTTCACTACACACGACACTACAATACACTACACTACTATACACCGCAATACTATACACTACAATAGTACATACTATACTACACTGAACTATACACTATACTACTATACACTACACGACCATACACTACACTACTACACACTACACTACTAAACAATACACTACAATACTATACACTACTATACTATACAATAATACAAACTATACTCCTATAGACTACACTATACACTCCTATACACTACACTAATATACACTACTATACACAACACTATAGATTACACTAATTTACACTACACTGCTATACATTACACTATACACTACACTTGTATACACTATACACACACCATTACCATTTGATCTGTTTCTTGAGCTGAGCCGTTCGGTGTTTGTCCAGGGCGTACAGATCCACGATCCGCATCCTCTCCTCAATCTCCTGGCACGGCACGGCATGTAGCAGAGCGAGAGCTTGATATGACCTCATCAGAAGGCACGTCACTTCAGGCAGTGTGTGGCTTATTCCCCTTTAAAGATAACTATTGTAGAACTCTCTGTTATCCACGCTAATGATGGTGAGGGACGGCCGCAGATAATTCAACATCGTGAATAATCCAACAAATAAAACAATTTCCCGCGGATCTCTGTGCCAAAAAAGATAGATGCCAATCACTCACCTACTCACTCACTCACCCACTCACTCACCCACTCAATGACACACTCACTCACACACCCACCCACTCACCCACCCAACTCACCGACCCACTCACTCACTCTCCCGCTCACTGACTCACTCACTCACTCACCCACTCATCCAACCAACTATCCACCCACTTACACACCCACTAACTCACCCACCCACCCACTCACCCACCCACTCACTAACACTCACCTCCCGTGTGAGCTCGGCGTGCTGGTAAATGTGCGAGGGGTCACTGCTGGAGCTGCCCATGTCGCTGACGCTCGCCAGTAGGGAGGGGGCAGAAGGCGGCGAGCGCCGTTGCTGGTAGCGTGATGTGGTGGGCGCGTCGCTCTCGTACGCCGGGTTGTACTTCACTGCATCCTCCGGCGACGTCGAAAGGCTGCCGCTGCATTCACCCGAGCTGCTGACAATCACGCCAAAGAAAGAGAGAGATACTGCAACCTTAGCCTCAACACTGCACCATAGACTCACTCATAACTGCACCATAGACTGAACGCTGACCCATAGACTCGACACTGCCAATATACTTAGCACCGCACCATTGATTCAACACTGCACCAGAGAATGAACACTGCCCATAGAAACTCAACACTGCCCTATAGACTCAATGTTGCACCATATTCTCAACACTGTCCCATAGACTCAACACTGCACCAGAGACTCAAAACTGCAACATAGAATCACTCAACACTGCACCATAGACTCAACACTGCACCATAGACTCAACATTGCACAATAGAAACACACATATAAACAACGCCTCTGTGTCGAGGCCTTAAATATATAGGGGGGGGGGGGGGGGGTTGGGGCAGAGAGAGAGGGGGGGATAGAGAAATTAGCATGTCAATGAGAGAGTTGTGTGGAAATCTTCCCCATCGCGGCCGGAGGAGAGAAAATATTTATAGGTCAAATTTCTCTCCTTCAGCCGCTATGGGGAGAATTTGCACACAACTCTCTCATTGACATGCTAATTTCTCTATCCCCCCCCCTCTCTCTCTGCCCCCCCTTTCTCTATTTAAGGCCTTGACACAGAGGCGTTGTTTCTCTGTGTGTCTATGTGTGTGTCTCTCTCTGTGTGTCGCTGTGTGTCTCTCTCTCTGCTTATGTGTCTGTCTATGTGTCTCCGTGTCTGTGTTTTGTCTCGCTCTCAAATTTAGTAATCTTTGGAAGAACGTAATCAACCAGGTATGGTGTGGACTGTTATGTTAGCCGACTCTCTGTGTTGTATTGCATTATATTTCAAAGTTTACTATATTTCTTTTCTCTTTCATTTCTATCTGATGATGATTGCTTGTTGCAATCGAAACGTCGTGTGCTCTTATTGAATTTATTTTCTTTCTACGTGACTTTACCGAAGGAACCAAAGAGTAATTCCTGCAGTCACGAAAGCTCCAAATGAAGTTTCATAGGTACTACTCGCGATCAGAACTTGCACTCTCATAGAGGCTACGTGGGTGGTGGGATCTTTGTCTTTGTGAGCTGCTCTTACGATGACGAGCGGCCACCTCCTCCACCTCTCTCCTCCCCCTTGTCTCTCCGTGAGCCCCTGAGTGCACGCGCCACCACGAACACGATGGCCGAGCAGACGAGAAGGAAGCCGGCGACGGACGCGAGGGAGATGCCCACCACCAGCGGCTCGGACACGAACTCCTGGCAGCGTTCGCCACGGTACCACCAATTCTCTCCTACACGGCACCTGCGCAACTCCGGAGGGCGGGTGGAGGAGAAGGTAGGTCATGGTGGTGGGGTGGGGTGGACAGGGGGGTCAGAGACAAGCGTGTAGAAGTGTGTAGTAGTGTATAGTGTAGTGCACAGTATTGCGTTGTATAAAGTAGTGTATAGTTGCGTAGTATATAGTGGAGTGTATAGCAGTGTAGTGTATAGTGTAGTGTGTGATGTGTATAGTGTTGAGTATAGCAGTGAAGTGTAGTGTGTATTGTGTATTGTGCTGTGTATAGCAGTGCAGAGTATAGTGTAGTGTGTGTTGTGTATTGTGCTGTGTCTAGCAGTAGAGTACATAGTGTAGTGTGTGCTGTGTATAGCATTGTGTATATCAGTGTAGTGTATAGTGTAGTGTGTGCTGTGTATAGTGTTGTGTATAACAGTTTAGTGTATAGTGTAGCCTGTGTTGTTGTATAGCGTTGTGCATGGCAGTGTAGTGTATAGTGTAGCGCGTGTGTTGTTGTATAGCGTTTTCTTGTACAGCGGCGTAGCATACAACTCGCTCGGGTAGTTCAAACTACCGTCACGGTTTTCCCGGCCTCACCTGCAGATGGCGCCCTGCCCGTCGACGACGTCACACTTGCCGTCGTGCAGGCAGTAGGAGGGGTCGAGGTCGCAGAGGCTCTGGCAGGGCAGGCCGCCCACGCTGGCGTAGCCCGGGCGGCAGACGCACTCGGCCTCGCCCGACCAGCGGTTGGGCAGGCAGTCTGAGAAGTCGTTGCATGCCTGGAACTTGCACGGGTCCGCATTGTCGCCTGTTTGTTGTTGTTTGTTTGTTTTTGTTTGTGTTGCGGCAGGGTGTGGGAGTGTGGGTAGGGGGTGTGTGGGTGGGTGGGAAAGTTGGGGGTGGGAGTGGGGTTGATAGGTGGAGGTGGGGGTGGGGTGGATAGGTGGGGTTGGGAGTGGGGTGGGAAGGTGGGGTGGATAGGTGGGGTTGGGAGTGGGGTGGGTGGGGGTGGGGTGGGGTGGGTGGGGGTGGGGTGGGTGGTGGGGTGGGGTGGGGTGGGTGGGGGTGGGGTGGGTGGTGGGGTGTGGGTGGGTAGGTGGGGGTCGGAGTAGGGTGTGTGGGAGTCGTTGTCAGTGTGTTGGGGTGAGGTGGGTAGTAGTAGAAGTGGGTGAGGAAGGGTAGTTGAGGTGTTAGTGAGTGAAGTTGGGTTCATTATCGCTCTGTAACACGATTTTTGTTGCTGGGTACTGAGTGTTATTTTCTAATTGCTTATGCCTCAAAAGTATAGAAAATGGCCATTATTCCCCACAAACTTTGCTTTTGTGACCAAGACTTTACATATAGGATTGACACAAATGCACACGTTTTCTCAATAAAAATAGATACATTTCAAAATATCACTATCCTGGTCACAAAAGCAAAGTTTTTGGAGAATAATAGCCATTTTCTGTACTTTTGAGGCATAAGCAAATTGAAATAACACTTACTACCCAGGAGCAAAATATTTATTTATTTATTTTTACACAGTGATTTGTTGTAAAAATTGGCACAGCAAATACATTTTGTGTGGGTTATCCGCAACACTAGCTAAATCATGTTCATCTTTATTGTATTTCATAACAATAGCTAAATCATTATCGTCATCATCATGATTGTAATCCACAGAAATAGCTAAATTATTATCATCATCGGGCAGTGCTGAGTCTATGGGTAGTGCTGAGTCTATGGTGCAATGTTGGGTCTATGGGTAGTGCTGATTCTATGGGCAGTGTTGAGTCTATGGTGCAGTATTGTGTCTATGGGCAGTGCCTGAGTTCATGGTGCAGTGCTGAGTTTGGGTAGTGTTGAGTCTATGGAGCAGTGTTCAGTCTACGGGCATTGCTGAGTTTGGGTATTGTTGATTCTATGGTGTAGTGTTGAGTCTATGGTGCAGTGTTGAGTCTATGGAGCAGTGTTGAGTCAATGGTGCAGTGGCGTCGGCGGTTCAATGTCCGGGCCCACTCACCGGATTCGACGTCCAGTGACTGCCGGTCGATCTCCATGTTCATGTGCTGGTAGGCGGCATTGCAGAAGCGCTCCAGGATGACATGGACGGCGCGTGTCACGTTGTTGGGCACGTGGTGGGCGAACTTCATGCGGCTGTTGACTACCACGCTGCCATTGCGGAAGTTCATGATCTCCATGTTCTGGAAGCCCGTGAGGTTCGACTGCAGGTACGGGACAAGCTGGTGGGCGGACGAGGGGAGGTTTGGGGTGAACGTTGGTAGGAAAAGAGTTCCCACGAGGAAAGTGGGAGGAGGAGGAGGACGGTGGGATGGCGGGGCAGAGGGAGGGAGGAGGAGGTAGGAGGAGGAGGGAGGTAGGAGGTAGGTGGAGGTAGTAGGAAGACGGAGGAGGAGATAGGAGAAGTGAGATGGGGTGTGTGTGAGAGTTGTAAAGAGGGGAAGAAGGTCGTAGGAGACACATGAGAAAAAAAAATCTCCGTATCTTTATTGATTCCAATCTAGATTTGAAGTTTTTGTGACTGCAGGGATCCATACTCTTGATTCTTTCGGTAAATTCACGTAGATATAAAATAGAATAAATTAAATCACGACGCTTCGGGCGCAACACAAGCGTCCGTCATCAGGTGGGACAACCACAGCAATAAACAATTGCTGAAGTGGGCAAAAGGGCTGCTGTAACAAGAGGCTATATATGTGTTGCACCCAAAACGTCTTTTATATTTTATATCTACGTGACTTTATTGATTCCAGCCACCACCTTTAGGTTAATGTTACTTCTCACGGAGTCTATATAATCCAGAGAATATTGTGTGGGTCTCGATGTGAGCCTGCGGGTCTCGAGCCTGCGGATCTCGAATTCGATTCCTCTTCATGGAGATAGTATGGGTGTCTGTCTTAGTCAATATCTGGCATATCACGGCGGCTAGGAGATGTTATCTACATTTAGAAACGCGCCTTTGGAGTCTTTGCCTGCTGCTGTAAATTCCCCAAGTGCTAATGAGCAGACACTTTGTTGAACTATATATATTTAAAAATCATAGCTTTCATTTGTGGTCAGGTCGTTTCTGAAAACGAGCTAAAGAGCAGCTCAGTGGGCCTTACCTGATAACATTAAAATAGTTCAGTTTAGTTTAAAGTCTTTTTTTTTATTCATCATCACCATCATTAGCCTTCCGTAAAAAAAATATTCTTCTTTATTCGGAGACGCATCCTCCACTACCTCCGTTACCTCGGCTACCCCCACCCCCCACAAGCCACCAACTTCTCACCAGTTCGAGGAAGTTCTGCTCGAGGGCTCGGTACTCGGAGGAGCTCTTGTTGAAGAGGTCCTCCGAGAAGGCCATGTTGGTGACGCGGAGGCTGAAGAAGACGATGAGGTCCCGCGATCCCGACACGGCCACCACCGGCGAGGTCATCGGAGGCCCGGCCCAGCGGTCGTCCCACTGCACTGCCTGGGCCTCATCCGAGCTCTCGACGCCCTCGTCGCCCGCGTCCTCCTCCGCTTCCTCCGCTGTGCCAACCTCGCCACCTTGGCCGCCCTTGCCAACGTCTTCACCATCTCCACCCTCTTCATTGTCACCACCCTTGCCACCCTGGGTACCCTCCTCGACCTCGCCGCCCTGGCCACCTTTGCCGCCACCGCTACCCTCGCCACCCTCATCACCACCACCCTCGCCACCCCCGCCACCCTCATCACCACCCTCGTCGTGACCATCTCCACCATCGCCTCCGCTCTCTTCTCCCTCCAACTCCATGGCACCACCACCCTCGCCGAGTCCACCCGGGGTTCCGACCACGCCCTCGTCCGTTGCGACCACCACTACGACGTCCGCCTCAACTTCCGCCGACGTTCCCAGGTGGTATCCGGCATCGTCTCCACCACCTCCTCCTCCACCACCTCCTCCTTCCACTGACGCCACCACCTCCTCTCCGCTCGACTCTCCACCCAGATTCTCCTCCGCCTCCTCCTCTGCCACTGCCTCGTCGACCACCACCTCCGCCACGGCTGCCACTACCGTGGTGTCCACTGCCGCCATCACAGTCTCGGGGTCGTGACCTCCCTCCATTGCTCCGGCGAGGGCGTCTCCATCAAGCGGAACTTCGTGGAGGAAGTGGAGGTGGTCGTCGTGCTGGTGGTCTTCGTGCTCATCTTGGTGGTGGTAAGAAGCTCCGGGTCTCCCGTTCGCCGTCTCTTCCTCGAGCGACGAGGGCATCAGGTGCGCCTCCAACACCACAACATCGTCGTCAGTGGCGGATTCCTCTCCCGTTTCAATCTCGGCGCTGGCCTCCTCCACCTCCTCCGCGTCCGTCTGTGTCTCCGCGGCTGTCCCGGTCGTCTGGACAGAGTCTTCCATCGCTGACTGTTCTTGCTCAACATCCTCCTGTCTATGCTCCTGCTGATCGTGCTGCGGAGTCGTCTGGACAGTAGATGCTTCAGTCGCGGTCGTCGCCCCACCACCGCCGCCACCATCATCTTCTTCCACACCATCCGAGAATCCCGCCACCGAATATTCGCCGGGCTCAAGGCCGCTGCCCTCTGCGTTCGCTGGAACGATAAGAAGAAGAATAAGAAGAAGACTCAACACTGCACCATAGACTCAAAACTGCACCATACACTCAACACTGCACAATAGACTCAACACTGCACAAGAAATCTAACACTGTACCATAGACTCAACACTGCACCATCGACTTAACCATTGCACCATAGACTCCACCAGTGCACCATAGACTCGATTCTGCAACATAGACTCAACACTGCACAATAGATCTAACACTGCACCATATGTTTAACACTGCTCCATCGACTTAACCATTGCACCATAGTCTCAGCACTGCACCGTAGACTCAACACTGTACCATAGACACAACAATCCACAATAGTCTCAACACTGCACTATAAATTCAACACCCCACCATAGACTGAACACTGCACCATAGACGTTGTACTGTACCGACGTTCTCACCTTCGCTCAGCTGCAGCAGCGCAGCTGCCTGGAGGTCTTGGCTGGCATCCACTCCGCGGTCACTCAGTGCCGCGGCCACTACCTTCCTCCAGTCCCGGTTCGACTCCCGTCTGGGGTTCGTCTCTCCGGCACCTGCCACCCACACAAAAAAAAAACGAAGACAAAGATCCCCCATGGAGCCTTAACAGACTGTTTGGGGCAAGTACTGTTAGTGAGTATCTATTAAGGCCGGCAATGTGGTATACGAGGGGGCGAGTGGCTAACACCACACCCGGCCGCCTTTGTCTTCCTAGTGGCGATATTGACACATCGCACCAGGTACACAATTGACGCTGGGTCAACCTAAAGGAGGCCCAGGACTGGTTCAGATAATCATCCCTGGTGTTGGTGGCCATGAACGGGAACCAACTCGGGGTGCCTGGGATTGTAGTGCAGCATAGCGCTAATCGCTAAAAATGTACCCAATGGATGTGCGCGTGTGTTTTGTCCTTCAATTCCTCAGTTGATGAAAAAAAGTTTATTCGAGGGGAGCGGTTGCTAGACAGCGAGTGTTGACTCGAGTGGATGGGGTTGCTAGGCAGGAAGATGGACCGCAAATGGCGTTAGGCATAGGGTAGAACGAGAGACAGAGAGACAGAAACAAAGAGACAAATAGAGAGACAGAGACAGAGAGACAGAGAGAGACACAGAGACAGAGATAAATAAATAGAGATACATATACAGAGAGACAGACAGAAAGACAGACAAAGAGAGACATATGCATAGAAATAGAGGAGACATAGAGACAGAGATACAGAAACAGAGAGACATAGACATGGAGGCAGACACAGAGAGACATAAACAAACATACAGAGACAGAAACAGAAAGGCAGAAACAGAGAGATAGAAAGACATAGAGACAGAGAGACTTAAAAAGAGAGACAGAAAGCGAGACAGAGAGACATAAATAAAGAGACAGAGAAACAGAGAGCTCATTCCAGTTGATGGGGTTGCTAGGCGGCGGGAGCTGAATCCAGTGAAGGGGTTGTTAAGGCAGTGAGAATTGTTTCGAGTGGAGTAGTTGCTAGGCAGCGAGAGTTGATTTGAGTGGGGGAGTTACTAGGCAACGAGAGTTGACTGACTGATCGTGAGGTTGAGTGACTAGCTGAGTGACTGGCTGGCTTAGTTGTTGATTCTTATACTGGCTGACTGGTTGAGTGACTGGCTGAATGATTGAGTGGCTGGCTGAGTCGCTAACTCATTGAGTGACTGGCTGAGCGATTGGCTGACCGCTTGAGTGACTGGCTGACTTTCTGACTGACTGACCGACTGACTGTCAGACCGGTCGAGTGACTAAGTCAACAAGGCACCTATAGCTGAGGAAACCAGGTTTCCCTGCACCAGAATTCCTCCTCTTCCTGGCCCGTAACTTGTTGCCACTCCAACCTCCAACTCTGTCTCATAGAGACTGGCTGCCTGATTGATTGTTTGGTTTAATGGCTGACCGTTTATGTGACTGGCTGACTGATTGAGTGACTGGCTGACTGATTAATTGGTTGACTGTTTGAGTGACTGGTTGTCTGGTTGAGTGACAAGCTGAGGGACAGGCTGGCTGACTTATTCATTACACTGTGTAACAATTTTGTTCTTGTTGTTCCTGGATAGTAAGTGTTATTTCATAATTGCATATGCCTCAAAAGTAGAGAAAATGGCTATTATTCCCCACAAACTTTGCTTTTTTGACCAGGACAGTGATAGTTTTCAATTTACCTCTTTTCCAGAACATTCCAGATAGATTTAGTGCTGAATAAACTAGAACATTCTGTAACTTTCCAGTAACATAAATAGTAGTGTAAATACAGGGGCCTTAAGCCCACCAGTTCAGTTTAGTTCCAGTTGCCTAAGTGGATACATATCTGCATTTTTTTGAGATGGCATCAAGAGGCTGCAAGCATCTGGCAGACGCATTTTGCTATGTCTGTGGCCAATTTATCAAGACAAGAGCGAAAAAGTAGTCTTTGGAAGCATCTGCTAAGATGTGCGAGGCCTACAAGGCATATTCGGCATGACTGTCGGGGGATCAAGGCGAACAATGGGAACCTCATTTCATCTGCGAGCAATGCAAACAAAACTCTGGAAGGTAATATGGACAATTGTTGCTTGGAATTTTATGTTATAAAATTTCAGTTTAACACGTAGGCTTTCACGACCAATGTTATTCATAATCAACGTTTTTGGGTTTAGATCGCGTTTATTTATAAATGTGTCGTAACCCTCCATCGGGTGGTGGAGGGTTACGACACATTTATAAATAACCGCGATCTAAACCCAAAAACGTTGATTATGAAGTTATAAAATTTGTTTAAAAAATAAATATTGTAAAAGTTTTTCATCTTAAAATGTTTAGCAATTTTCAATGTTATTGAAAAAAGATGCCATACATGAAAAATGTTGCGAAAATCTCTTACACATTAGTTATGGGTGAAATAAATTTATTTTTGTAGGATGGTACAGAGAAGAAAAGAGAGCCATTAAGTTCGATATCCCATGAATTTGGCGGGAACTCACTGACCACTCAAGCAACTGCTACTTCTGCATAGTGGACCCTTCCAAACGTCGGACTGGAAAAATTGCACCTGCTATCACGTATCCAGACCTTCCTTCATCCATTGCCCCAGTGCCACAATGCCATGAGCTCTCCGTACCCACTCCTCCGGAGAGAGCAGCACGTCAGAGAGCAAGAAAGACGTTGCAGATCCAGATCACAATTTCAGAGGTGGAGCTGAGGAGAGAAACCCATACTACCCCAACCAAAAATAACTCAACGACTTCATCAGAGATCTTGGTCTCACCAAGTCCAATGCCGGATGACGCCAAAAGGCGCGACTCAGTCACTCATCTGGTCCAACCCATGTGAGACTAGGCTCTAAGAAAAGCTGTCTCGGGTGTGGACCAATCAATTTCAAGGACAGTGCACATTATCAGAGTTATGTCTTTTGTTTGTATTATGACTGCAGGTTTTGCGGTCTATGCAAACATGACTCCTTGTAAAAAGGTGTCAGTTTTGTTGCCAGATAGAAGGGTAAACAACCAATTATCATATTTTTACTGGCAAATGAGGTTCCCATGGTGTACGTGGAGCTGGTTGAGACTGGTGAAGAACTATGGCACAATGGGCTATAGGATGTCCCTCAAAATCCATATCCCTGATGCTTATCTTGTTAAATTCAAGGAGAACATGGGAGCGTACTCGGAGGAGCAAGGCGAGCGCTTCCACCAGGATATACTGGACTTTGAACGCCGCTACGAAGGACAATATAACGAGAACATGATGGGAGACTACATTTGGGGGCTGATTCGTGAAAGTGATTTACAGTATAATCGTAAATCTCGAAAAACTGCTCACTTCTAAATATTTGTAGTCATTTTTGCATTACTTTAGCATTAATACACTTTAACTTTTATTCATGTTGTTTTTTTCTGACTTTATGTGAATGAAAAGACACAAATTCGCCCGTTTTCTCATTGAAAATAGGTAAATAAAAACCTATCACTGTCCTGGTCACAAAAACAAAGTTTGTGGGGAATAATAGCCATTTTCTCTACTTTTTAGGCATAAGCAATTACGAAATAACACTTACTACTGAGGAACAAAAATTGTGTTAGAAAGTGTTATTATACCGGCTGACTGGATGAGTGACAATCTGATTCACTAACTCGTCGAGTAATTGGCTGAGCGAATGTATGACTGGTTGAGTGACCGATATATGAAATTATTATGTATTCTGATTATAGTGCACTGCTACTGCTATTGTTATTCTGGCTGTTATGGATTGACTTATGCAGCTAGCGAAGGATGATAGTGATGTGTGCTGTGTGTCTCGCTATTGTAAACTTGTAATCACATTAGTTGGGAAAACTGTTACGTTGTTTATATAGCATTGTTTTAGTAAGTTTTAGAGGGGCTTGGTTTGGCCCGATTTTTTTTTATTTAGTATAGATTTATACTTATAATTTTGATCTGTATTGTATTGTGATTGTTATTGGGATCAAACATCGAAATGGAATTTTTTGCACTTTTTGTACGCAGCATGGACGGGTTGTGCTTTTAATGTAGGATGTTATTGTTTACGTATGTAATGTTCACATTTGTGTACGATTAATTTTAGGTGTATCTTGTAATTCTATTGTTTGTTGTGGTTGAACCCAAATCTGGAGCTGAATGGCTCACAGGGTAAATCCTAATAAATTAAACTGAAACTGAGTGACTGAGTCAACAAGGCACCTGTGGCTGAGGTGACCAGGTTTCCCTGCAGCAGCCCTCCTCCTCCTTCTGTCCAATCACTCCCCGCCACTCCATCCTCAAACTCCGCCTCATAGCGGACCACCACCGAGCTGCCCCGAGACCTGGGGGGTGGTGGTGAGGGTGTGGGGGTGGTGAGGATGGGGTGGGCAGAGCGGAGGGTTGGTTTCATTTTTATATGTGTAGTGTATAGTAGTGTATAGTGTAGTGTATAGTAGTGTAGTGTATAGTAGTGTAGTGTATAGTGTCGTGTATAGTAGCGTAGTGTATAGTGTAGTGTGTACTAGTGTAGGGTGCAGCATAGTATATAATGGTGTAGTGTGTAATAGTGTAGTGTAGTGTATTCTGTAGCAGTGTAGTGTATAAAGTAGTATGTATAGTTTATTGAAGTGTATAGTCGTGTAGTATATATTGTAGTATATAGCAGTGTAGTGTACAATGTTGTATGCAGCATATATTGTAGTGCATAGTTTAGTGTATAGAAGTGCAGTGTACAATGTAGTATGCACTGTGTATCGTAGTGTATAGTGTAGTGTGGAATAGTGTAGTGCATAGTGTAGTGTATTTTAGAGTAGTGTGTTTTGTTTATTGTAGTCTATAGTGTAGTGTATATTAGTGTAGTGTCAAATGTAGAATGCAGCGTGTATTGTAATGTTTTGTGTAGTGTGTAGTAGTGATGTGTATGTAGTATGTAGTGTGTATTGTAGTGTGTATTGTAGTGTATATTGTAGTGCATAGTAGTGTGGTGTATGTAGTATGCTGCGGATATTGTAGTGTATAGTGTAGTGTACTTTTGTTTAAATTACGTCGAACCACCGTAGGTTGGAAGGACAACAACTAAACACAACAACATTTATCTTCTTGGTTCTTTCGGTAAAGTCACGTAGAAGGGAAATAATAAAATAATAAAAATAAAACATAATTATTTTATTATTTTTATTATTATATTATTTCCCTTCTACGTGACTTTACCGGAAGAACCAAGAAGATGAATCCCTGCAGTCACGAAAGCTTTAAATCGAAATTTAATACAACATTTCTCTTGATGTATCTAGTTGTGTAGCTAGTGGTGTACGTAGTTGTGTAACTACAGTGAGGGAAAAAAGTATTTGATCCCCTGCTGATTTTGTACGTTTGCCCACTGACAAAGAAATGATCAGTCTATAATTTTAATGGTAGGTCTATTTGAACAGTGAGAGACAGAATAACAACAAAATCCAGAAAAACGCATGTCAAAATTTTTATAAATTGATTTGCATTTTAATGAGGGAAATAAGTATTTGACCCCTTCTCAATCAGAAAGATTTCTGGCTCCCCATGTGTCTTTTATACAGGTACGAGCTGTGATTAGGAGCACACTCTTAAAGGGAGTGCTCCTAATCTCAGCTTGTTACCTGTATAAAAGACACCTGTTCACAGAAGCAATTAATCAATCAGATTCCAAACTCTCCACCATAGCCAAGACAAAAGAGCTCTTCAAGAATGTCAGGGACAAGATTGTAGATCTACACAAGGCTGGAATGGGCTACAAGACCATCGCCAAGCAGCTTGGTGAGAAGGTGACAACAGTTGGTGCGATTATTCGCAAATGGAAGAAACACAAAAGAACTGTCAATTTCCCTCAGCCTGGGGCTCCATGCAAGATCTCACCTAGTGGAGTTGCAATGATCATGAGAACGGTGAAGAATCAGCCCAGAACTACACGGGAGGATCTTGTCAATGATCTCAAGGCAGCTGGGACCATAGTCACCAAGAAAACATTTGGTAACACACTACGCCGTGATGGACTGAAATCCTGCAGTGCCCGCAAGGTCCCCCTGCTCAAGAAAGCACATATACATGCCCGTCTGAAGTTTGCCAATGAACATCTGAATGATTCAGAGGACAACTGGGTGAAAGTGTTGTGGTCAGATGAGACCAAAATGGAGCTCTTTGGCATCAACTCAACTCGCCGTATTTGGAGGAGGAGGAATTCTGCCTATGACCCCAAGAACACCATCCCCACCGTCAAACATGGAGGTGTAAACATTATGGTTTGGGGTGTTTTTCTGCTAAGGGGACAGGACAATGTCACCACATCAAAGGGACGATGGACGGGGTCATGTACCGTCAAATCTTGGGTGAGAACCTCCTTCCCTCAGCCAGGGCATTGAAAATGGGTCGTGGATAGGTATTCCAGCATGACAATGACCCAAAACACACGGCCAAGGCAACAAAGGAGTGGCTCAAGAAGAAGAATATTATGGTCCTGGAGTGGCCTGGCCAGTCTCCAGACCTTAATCCCATAGAACATCTGTGGAGGGAGCTGAAGGTTCGAGTTGCCAAACGTCAGCCTCGAAACATTAATTACTTGGAGAAGATCTGCAAAGAGGAGTGGGTCAAAATCCCACCTGAGATATGTGCAAACCTGGTGGCCAACTACAAGAAACGTCTGACCTCTGTGATTGCCAACAAGGGTTTTGCCACCAAGTACTAAGTCATGTTTTGCAGAGGGGTCAAATACTTATTTCCCTCATTAAAATGCAAATCAATTTATAACACTTTTTACATGCGTTTTTCTGGATTTTGTTGTTGTTATTCTGTCTCTCACTGTTCAAATAAACCTACCATTACAATTATAGACTGGTCATTTCTTTGTCAGTGGGCAAACGTACAAAATCAGCAGGGGATAAAATACTTTTTCCCTCACTGTTGCTAGTGGCTTAGCTTGTATTCCTGTTCGTCGTGGTGCCGGTGTTGTGACTGAGCCTAGCGTCTCACTCACCCCGTGGGTCGCTTCCTCTTCCTGTGGAACAGAGATCGGTATCACCGTTACTACCACGGCGTTATCAGCATTACTACCCAGCTGCTGTCTGTGTGTGTGTGAGTGGGGAGCGGTAGTTGTAGCCGTTAGCGCGCTGTGCTATGAGCATGGCGACCCAAGTTCGATTCCCGCTCACGGCCAACACCCAGTGACGATTATCTGAACCAGTCCCCGGGGCTCCCCTAGGTCGACTCTGCCTGAAATGAGTACCTGGTGCGATGTGTAAACCGCCGCTGGGGAGACAAAGGTGGTCGGGCGTGGTGCTGGCCACCCACCTCCCCCGTGTAAGGTTCCGGGCCTCATAGATGCTCGCTAACAGCACTTGTCCCTACAGTCTGTTAAGGCTATACGGGGGATCTTTGTGTGTGAGTATGCGTATGCTGTGTTTTGTGTAGGGGAGCGGTAGTTTAGTGGTTTGCGCGCCGGGCCGTGAATCTTGAGACCCGCGTTCGATTCCCGCTCACGGCCAAACCAGTGAAGGTTATCTAAAGCGGTCCCTGGGGCTCCCCTAGGTCGACTCAGCCTCAAACATCGCCAGCGGGGGTACAAAGGTGGCTGTGTGTGGTGCTCACATTCTGACTGCGCGGTTAAAAAAAAACCTTCCAAATCTCGTCTTAGAAGTCTCGTTGAAGTCTCGTCTTTGACCAAGTTTCGTCTTAGAAGTCGAGATGAAATCTAGTCTTAGAATGCGTCTCGTCTTAGACCAAGTCTCGTCTTAGAAGTCGAGACGAAGTCTCGTCTTAGAAGTCGATACGAAGTCTTGTCTTAGAACGCTTCTTGTCTTAGACCAAGTCTCGTCTTAGACCAAGCCTCATCTTAGACCAAATCTCGTCTTAGATGTCGAGATGAAGTCTCGTCTTATGGTGGTGATGATGCCGATGGTGGTGTTGCTGACGGTGCTGATGATACTGATGGTGATGATGGTGATGATGGTGATGATGATGGTGGTGATGTTGGTGGTGGTGATGATGGCGATGATGGTGGTGAAGTTGATGATGGTGGTGATGGTGGTGATTGTCATGATGTTGATGGTAGTGATGTTGATGATGCGGATTGTGGTGATGCTGATGATGGTGATGACGATACTGATGATGTTAGTAATGCTGATGATGCTGATGGTGGTGATGCGGTTGATGATGGTGATGCTTATAATGATTTGATGATGACGTTGTTGATAATGCTGATGGTGGTGATGACGATACCGATGATGAAGGTGCCGATGGTCGTGCTGATGGTGATGCTGATGGTGGTGATGTTGTACCTGAAGCCCGTCACCCTCAGCTCCTTGAATCCTGGAACTTTCTGGAACCCCTTTTGCATCTGGTGACAGAACGACGCGGCCATCGTGAAAATATAAAAATAAAAATGCTTCAGCTCCAGAGACTCACACAGATCACCCCAGCTACGCTGACTGAGCATCTATCTTCGATGTGACCACTGTGAACGCCCACGGTGGGCTAGGAGATGTTAACAACCTCGCCTGGTATGCAGGAGGTCGTGGGTTCGATCATGGACCCTGACGTCTATGGTGGGCTAGGAGATGATAACCACCTCGCCTGGTATGCAGGAGGTCGTGGGTTCGATCATGGACCCTGACGTCTATGGTGGGCTAGGAGATGATAACCACCTCGCCTGGTATGCAGGAGATCGTGGGTTCGATCCCGACCCTAACGTCCATGGTGGGCTAAGAAATGTTAACCACCTCGCCTGGTATGCAGGAGGTCGTGGGTCGGATCATAGACCCTGACGCTCACGGTGGGCTAGGAGATGTTAACCACCTCGGCTGGTATGCAGGAGGTCGTGATTTCGATCATGGACCCTGTCGCCCATGGTGGGCTAAGAAATGTTAACGACCTCGCCTGGTGCACAGGAGGTCTTGGGTTCGATCACGACCCTGACACCTGCTGTATGCTTGGAGTTTGCGTCTCTCTCTCTCTCTCTCCCCATGGTAGTGGCGATATTTTGCGAGTATAGGTCTGTGTATGGCAACCCATACACAGACAAATACCCAAGGATCTCGAAGATTATAGAAACTTAGATCCCCACGTATAGCCTCTGGCCGGCTGTAGGGGCAAGCGCTGTTAGTAATTAGCGACTTGCAGCACCACCAGGAGGGTCTGTTGAGGCCACAACTTTGGCACAAGAGGGGGTGGGTGATCAGCACCATGCCCGGCTACCATTGTCTTCCCACACACTCACTCACTCACCCACACATCCACTCACTCACTCACCCACACCCCCACTCACTCACTCACTCATCCACCCACTCAACCACCCACTCACTCACTCGCTCACCCACACACCCACTCACTCACCCACACAGCCACTCACTCACTGACCCACACCTCCACTCACTCAATCACCCACACACCCACCCACCCACGCACTCGCCCACACCCCCACTCACTCAATCACCCACACACCCACCCACTCACTCACTGCCCTACACACTCACCCACTCACTCACCCAATTAGTCATCCACTCACTCACTCACCCACCCACTCACCCACTCACTTACTGCCCTTCACACTTACTCACCCACCCACCCACTCACACTCACCCAACCACCCACTCACCCACCCACCCACTCACCCACTCACTCACTGACTCCCCTACACACTCACCCACTCACTCACTGACCCACTCACTCACTCGCTCACCCACACACTCAAACAAATATAAAGATCCCCCGGGCAGCCTATAACAGACTGCAGGGGCAAGTGCTCTTAGTAGTAGCGAGTAGCAGCACTTATTGAAGGCCGGCACTGTGACACGCAGGGGAGTGGGTGGCATGCACCACGCCCGGCCGCCTTTGTCTCTCCTGTGGCGATGTCCAATGCACACCTTCCTGTTACTAATTTTAGGCTGAGTCGACCTAGAGTTGAGGCACAAGGACCGGATCAGGTAATCGCCTATCACTGGGAGTTTTGTGGTGTTGGCCGCGAGCGGGAATCGAACCCGGGTCACACCCTAGTCCGCAATGCTGCACAGGTGCCCTGAATTGACTGCTGTGCCAGGCTAGGTTCATGAGGTCACGGGACAGACCCAGCAGGTGAACTGAGTTGACTGCTGTGCCAGGCTAGGTGCAGGAGGTCACGGGACAGACCCAGCAGGTGTCATGGGTTGACTGCTGTGCCCGGCTAGGTGCAGGAGGTCACGGGACAGACCCAGCAGGTGCCCTGAGTTGACTACTGTGCCAGGCTAGGTGAAGGAGGTCACGGGACAGACCCAGCAGGTGTCATGGATTGACTGCTGTGCCAGGCTAGGTGCAGGCCCCCCCACACCCCTCACACGCCCACACTCCTCACACCCCCACACCCCTCACACCCTCACACCCCTCACACGCCTACACCCCTCACACCCCTCACACCCCCCCACACCCCTCACACGCCCACACCCCTCACACCCTCACACCCCCCACACCCTCACACCCCCCACACCCCTCACACCCTCCACACCCTCACACCTCCCACACCCCCCACACCCTCACACCCCCACACCCCCCACACCCTCACACCCCCCACACCCCTCACACCCTCACACCCTCACACCCCCCACACCCTCACACCCCCCACCCCCTCACACCCTCACACCCCCCACACCCTCACACCCCCCACACCCCCCACACCCTCACACCCCCCACACCCCTCACACCCCTCACACCCCTCACACCCCTCACACCCCTCACACGCCCACACCCCTCACACCCCCCAACCCTCAAACCCTCACACCTCCCACACCCTCACACCCCTTACACCCTCACACCCCCCACACCCCTCACACCCCCCACACCCTCACACCCCCCACACTCCTCACACCCCCACACCCTCACACCCCCCACACCCTCACACCCCTTACACCCTCACACCCCCCACACCCCTCACACCCCCCACACCCTCACACCCCCCACACCCTCACACCCCTTACACCCCCTCCCACACCCCTCACACCCCCCACACCCTCACACCCCCCACACCCCTCACACCCCCCCAACCCTCAAACCCTCACACCCCCCACACCCTCACACCCCTTACACCCCCTCCCACACCCCTCACAACCCTCACACCCCCCACACCCCCCACACCCCTCACACCTCCCACACCCCCACACCCCCCCAACCCTCACACCCCCCACACCCCTCACACCCCCCTACACCCCCACAACCCCCCCCACCTTCACACCCCTCACACCCTCACACACCCCACACCCCCACACCCCTCACACCCTCACACCCCTCACACCCTCACACCCCCCACCCCCCCCAACCCTCACACCCCCCACCCCCCCCAACCCTCACACCCCCCTCACCCCTCACACCCCCCACACACCCCCACACCCCTCAACCCCCCTCACCCCTCACACCCCCCACACACCCCCACACCCCTCACACACACCCCCACGCCCCTTACACCCCCCCAACACCCCCACAACTCCTCACACCCCCCACACCCCTCACACCCTCACACCCCTCACACCCTCACACCCACACACCCCTCACACTCCCCACACCCCTCACACGCCCCCCACACACCCCCACACCCCTCACACCCCCACACCCCTCACACCCCCACACCCCTCACACCCACACACCCCTCACACTCCCCACACCCCTCACACGCCCCCCACACACCCCCACACCCCTCACACCCCCACAACCCCTCACACCCACACACCCCTCACACCCCCCACACCCCTCACACGCCCCCCACACACCCCCACAACCCCTCACACCCTCACACCCCTCACACCCCCCACACCCCTCACACGCCCCCCACACACCCCCACACCCCTCACACCCACACACCCCTCACACCCCCCACACCCCTCACACCCCCCACACCCTCACACCCCCCACACCCCCCAAACCCCTCACACCCTCACACCCTCACACCCCCTACACACCCCCACACCCTCACACCCCCCACACCCTCACACCCCCCACACACCCCCACCCCCCACACACCCCCACACCCCTCACACCCCCCACACCCCCCACACCCCACACACCCCCACACCCCTCACACCCCCCACACCCCTTACACCCCTCACACCCCTCACACCCCTTACACCCCTCACACCCCCCACACCCTCACACCCCCCACACCCCTCACACCCCACACCCTCACACCCCCCCCCACACACCCCCACACCCCTCACACCCCCCACACCCCTCACACCCCTCACACACCCCTACACCCCTCACACCCCCCCACACCCTCACACCCCTTACACCCCCCCCACACCCCTCACACCTTACACCCCCCCCACACACCCCCCACACCCCTCACACCCCCCACATCCTCACACCCCCCACACACCCCTACACCCCTCACACCCCCCACACCTCACACCCCCCACACCCCTCACACCCCTCACACCCCTCACACCCCTCACACCCCTTACACCCCTTACACCCCCTACACCCTCACACCCCCCACACCCCTCACACCCCCACACCCCTCACACCCCTCACACCCCTCACACCCCTTACACCCCTCACACCCCCCACACCCTCACACCCCCCACACCCCTCACACCCTCACACCCTTACAACCCCCCACACCCCTCACACCCTTACACCCCCCCCACACACCCCCACACCCCTCACACCCCCACACCCCTCACACCCCCCACACACCCCTACACCCCTCACACCCCCCACACCCTCACACCCCCCACACCCCTCACACCCTCACACCCTTAGACCCCCCCACACCCCTCACACCCTGCCGAACCTGTAGACGCAAGGTGTGCGACAGCGCCTGGTGGCGCGCCGACTGCTCGTCGCGTAGCTCCTCCTCCGAGAAGTCGAGGTTGTTGAACCTCACGCTGAACGGCACCACGTGGCGCCCCCTCCCCCGCTCCTCCTCCTCCTCTGTCTTCACCTCCTCCTCTGTCTTCACTTCCTCCTCTGTCTTCACTTCCTCCTCTGTCTTCACTTCCTCCTCTGTCTTCACTTCTTCCTCTGTCTTCACTTCCTCCTGTGTCTTCACTTCTTCCTCTGTCTTCACTTCCTCCTCTGTCTTCACCTCCTCCTCTGTCTTCACTTCCTCCTCTGTCTTCACCTCCTCCTCTGTCTTCACTTCCTCCTCTGTCGTCACTTCCTCCTCCGTCGTCTTCACCTCCTCCTCTCCCGCTTGCTCCTCGGTGGGCAGGAGGTTGGCGAGCGACTCCCCGGACGGGATGAGCGAGGGCGTCTCCGTGTCTTCGTGTCCCAGCATCTCTGTGTCTCCATGTCCCAGCATCTCCGTGTCTCCGTGTCCCAGCATCTCCGTGTCTCCGTGTCCCAGCGTCTCCGTGTCTCCGTGTCCCCCTGTGGTCTCTGCCTCTGTCCCCATTGCGCCGGGGGCTGTGTGTCTGTCTGTGAGGACAAGAGGAAGAGACTGCGGTGGCAGCGGTGGAAACGGAGGTACAGGTGGTGATGGTGGTGATGGTGGTGGTGATGGCGGTGATGGTGGTGGTGATGGTGGTGATGGTGGTGGTGATGATGGTGGTGATGGTGGTAGTGGTCATGATGATGGTGGTGGTGATGGTAGTGGTGATGGTGGTGATGGTGGTAATGGTCGTGGTAGTGATGGTGGTGGTCATGATAGGGTGATGGTAGTGACTGGTTTGAGGGGCTGGTAACCCCTCCACCTTTAATTTAACTACCTTGAAAACACGTGTTGAAAAACATCAAACTAACCTTGTGCCGGAGGCCCCGGGGGGACAGTCGTTTATGACGTCTCCTGGACAAACCTCATTTTGTCGGAGCCAGGAGACTGCCAAGCCACAGGGAATTGGCTCTTCTTCTGAACAAAATAATTAAGGGGGTGTGGGAGCATGGTGGTGAGGTGTGGGAAGCTGTAAGCCCCAGGGTACTGTGGGCTCACCTTCCCATCAATAAGAGGCAAGAAGTGGTGGTCGTGGTTTCTTATGCCCCCACTGAAGATGAACATCAGTGGAGGGATACAGACAAGGTCGATGAGTCAGATGCCTTTTATGACCTCCTGTCACAGGTGTGGACTAAAATGGCCCTTTGAGATGGAGTCATTCTGTGGGGTGACTTTATGTCCGAGTGGGTCCTAATACAAACACCTGGATTGGAGTGATCGGAAGGCATTGGCCAGATCAGCTCAATAACAATGGTGGGAGGCTTCTAGACTTCTGTGCAGCCCGTGGGCTTGTAGTTACCAACGTGCTGTTCCAGCATCGGCGCATCTACACAACATCATGGATACACGCCGGGTCAAAGCAAGAACATCTGCTGGACTATGTAGTGATGGAACAGCGGATATGGGCCCATGACCTTGACACTAGGACCTACCGTTGAACTGATCTGCCCACTGACCATTGGCTTCTCATCTGTAAGATGCACCTGCCATTCTTCAACTCCGGTGGTGCCTGTACACCTAGGACCCCATTCAAATCATCCCTGGTCTCAGCTAGCTGATGAAAGTTGCAAGCGAGAATTTAATCCTCGCTTGCGGCTGGGGTTGGCATCGTCCCCCACTCCTCCTGATGTCGACGGGAAATGGGTGAGGTTCAGGACTGTGGCTCATGCCGCTGCAACAGCTGTATTGGGCATGCGGTTCAGACCTCCCCAGAGACCGTGGCTGAAGGAGGTGTTCCATCTGGCTGAGAGAAAATGCTAGGCCCACTCTCACCTTCCACAACATCCAACATCGGATAATGAGTAGGCTTACTACATCTTCGCTCGGAGATTCGGAGAGCCGGGCAAGGATGGGTGGTGATCGCGGGTTGCTGAGGAGATGGAATCTGCCTCGGTAGCCCGCAATCACAAATCACTCTTTAACACCATCAAAAAGGTAACTTGCTACGCCTCACCTATCACCATCCTTAAAGGTGAGAACGGTGATTCAATCTCCAACCCCTGGAAGAGGTCTGCAGGTTTGCAGATACATTCTGTGAGGTCTTGGACAAAGGGAATTCCCACAGCCTAGACAACATCATGGGAAAAGGTGGGGACGGCCCTGCTAGGGCTGCGGTGCCTCAAATATTGGCAGGAGTAGCCACCCCTTCTGAGTGGTTGGCTGAGGTGCCATCTGTGGAGGAAGTGGGAGGGGTGCTCCGGAGACTGAGAACAGGAAAATCGCCAGGCAGATATGATATCCCAAGCGAAATCCTGAGGGAGGGTGGCATCTGTGTGCAAACTGCCCTAGATGCCATCATCACAAATGTTGGGCCACAGGGCAGGTTCTTATAGTCCAAACAGGATTGCCCTTCCTTCTCTATGCTTGAGAAATGTGGACCCCTCCATAATGGAACATCTTCGCTGGTTAGAAACATTTAGGCTGGCCTACCTATGATCCATCCTGGGTTTAACTAGACTGCATTGTGTGAGGAGCTCACAAATCCTTGAAAGATCTGGGCAAAGTCCCATTGGTGAACTCCTCCGGCAGGCAAGGCTGCGTTGGCTAGATCATGTAGCCTGCATGCCCAGCCACGGCATGCCCAAGCAGCTTTTGTCTGGTCGTATAGAGGGAGCTAAATGGGCATGGCATGGTCTGCAAAAGAGATGGACTGATGCGGTAAGCTGAGTGGACTTGCAAAAGACTGGTACTAGCGGTGTCAAGATCGGCCTCAATGGAGGAGGCTCGTGAAGGACGCTACTGATCAGTTGGAGGCAGTCACCCTTCAACAACAACAGAGGGCAGAGGAGCGTCGCTCACAACAATGAGTGAACCACTTGGTGGTTAAAATGCAGCTAGTTGACACAGCAGGGGGCACATCTGGTGCATCTGCCAGTCATCTCAGTCAACCCATGGCACCTGGGTCTGCCCCGTGACCTCCTGCTTGCTAGGGGGAGTTCAACACTCACTTCACGTCGCCTTAAAGTGCACATAGCCTGGCACATGCGCCGTGGTGATGTTACCGCCACTTAGTGGTGAATGGCAGGTATTGATATTGATGCTGGTGGTCATGGTGGTCGTCATTTTAAGACTTTGGAGGCTTTCGCAACCAAATATTTACAAAAAAAAGCGAGAATTTTCGTGAGTTAGATCGCACAAATACAAATGTGTCATTAAACCGAACACCACCCGACATGGCAAATTGGCGAGGTTTGTTCTGTAAACGAAATGGGCCAATTCGTTACACGTTCAGCACTAACCAGTTGTATGTTGGGGAGTAAACCCTTTGCTATGTTTTTTTTGACAAACTTTACAAATTGTCCATGTCAGCTGGTGGTGGCAGGTTTATCAACACATTTACATTCACGCGATCGGACCCAAACAAAACCTCTATGATGGTGGTGACCACGGAGATGTAGGTGGTGATGGTGGCGATGCTCGTGATGGTGTTGAAGATGGTCATACTCGTGATGATGGTGGCAATGGTGATGAAGGTGATTGTGAAGCTGGTGATGGTGGTGATGGTGATGATGGTGGTAATGAAGAAGGTGGTGATGAAGGTGGTGAAGAAGGTGGTGATGAAGGTGGTGACAACGGAGGTGCAGGTGGTGACAGTGGTGATGGTGGTGATGAAGGTGGTGAGGTTGGGGATAGTTGCTAATAATGGCGATGGCGGCGATGGTGGCTGTGATGGCTCCCACTCCTCCCATTCCTCCTCCACCCGCTGACCTTCTTTATCTGGAGAATCGACGTAGCCCAGAATGTCAGCAGACACCGAGGAAGAGCCATCACCACCTCCTTCGTCCGCGTCAGGAATGGCGTTGATAAACTGCACAGCGCACGCAGCAAAGACAGATATACCTCGCCAGGTGTAAGGCCACCACTGAGCTGCCCTGTAGCCCTTTTTCAGAGGCCAACCTGGGCCATCACAAATGAGTCACAGCTCAACGAAGTTTCATCATCCTAAATATCGTCGTCATCGTCACGTGGAAATGTTACGCAGCAACCAAATACTTGTATAGATGCATTGTGACGTTGATTCTCAATGACGAAGGGGAGAAAAATCCACACAGTGACAACCAGGGAGAGAGAGAGACGTTGGGGTCAGGGTCAGGATCGAACCCACCACCTCCTGTATACCGGGTAAGGTAATTAACATCCGCGAGTGCACCGTGGCATCAGGTAAGGCTCCACTGAGCAGCTATTTTTGCAGAAGACACCTGGCACATCACAACGTAATAGCAGCACCATCACCTGGCTGATGTCAGCATCACGTGGACACTCGTAGCAACATCCAGACACTCTAAACGCCTGTTGTGGATTCGAAATTTGGAGGGAATACCGGAGGACCCGGAAGATAAATTCACGTGACCACGGAGAGAAAAAGAAAGACACGCAAACTCCAAATGTACAGCATTTGCCAGTGTCGGGTTCGAAACCACGACCTCCTGTATACCAGGCAAGGTAGTTAACATCTCCTATCACACTTTGGTGTCAGGGTCGGATTCGAACCCACGACCTCCTACATACCAGTAAAGGTAGATAGCATTGTACAAACATTGAAGAGAAACCGATCACCAAGTGTGCATTAACCACACATGGCTGCTCGTGGTAGAAAATACAAACAAACATGCTCCAATAATAATAATCTATTGCCCTTGGAACTGATTTTCCTACACCAGAGCAACAGGAGCTGCCTTAATGGCGTGGTCTCACCATCGGTGTTAGACCTCAGAATAACGCCAAAAGGCGATCAGAACAAATGCAATGCAAACATCAAAGCATCATCAGCATGGCATTGAACAGATATATATATTTCGATTTAAAGCTTTCGTGACTGCAGGGATTCATCTTCTTGGTTCTTTCGGTAAAGTCACGTAGAAGGGAAGTAATAAAATAATAAAAATAAAACATAATAAAACAATTCTCACGACGTTTCGGCCACAACGCAAGCAGCCGTCCTCAGGTGAAAACCAGGTCCGTCGAGGCGACAGAGTCTGAATGAAACAGCACACGAGCTTGGAGCAGATATATATAGACGGGAGAACCTCCTCCTCTGCGGTTGCACCTCGATTCAAGAGCCGAATGGCTCACAGGGCTATACCTAATAAATTACCTGAACTGAACTCTTAACCACGGTTATTGGCTCCACTAAGCCGGTCCTGAAGTGATTTGGTCGTTAAGGCAGAGTAGGAAATAGACGTTAAAAGCTTAATTCGTTCCGATTGTATCGAAAGTTACCCCCGTTTTACCCAAAGAACATACTTTATAATATTTAAACAATAAATATCAATACATACAGATACCAACAACATAAACACATAATATTAAAAAGAAAACACGGTTAATAAATGCATACATAACGGGGAAATGTCCGTTAAGCAAACACATTGGGCTCTATGGAAGCACTACGCGAATATACACTATACACTACACTACTATACACTGCATTATACACTACACCACTATACACTACACTATACAAGGTGTTTTAAAAGATAGACCCAATTTCAAAACATTATATTTCACGATGGCAACATGTTACAATTACACAAAAAATTACAAACGGTTTATTGATTTATTAAGTTTAACTAACCATTTTATAAATGCTCTATGTGCCCTCCACCTGCTGTACGGACAACATCGAGACGATAGTTGAATTCGTCCCAAACGCCTCTGCTCACGTTTTCGTCTTAGGTGCGTGGTCGCCCTGTGCTCTTGCCCTTACATAAACAACCTGTTTCCTCAAATTGTCGGTACCAACGACGAATGCTCTTTGGCATTGGCGGATCAATGACAAATGCACGCTGCACCGCAATTACGGATTCAGTCTTGCTGAAATGCAGAACGCAAAACGCCTTGTGTTGCGGGGTCACCATCTTGCGAATTACTGAGGCGAGGGGCTGTTTGTGCGCTGGGAGAGGCGTCTAGCGGTAATCATTTGAAACTATATGCCCCGCCCGTTCAAGTGGTGAGAGTTTCATTCAAGGGCGGTTTGTGGTTGCAGAGATATAGCGATTTCAAATCGGGTCCATCTTTTTCAAACACCCTGTACTATACAATACACTATGCACTACACACTACACATAGGGCTCTATGGAGGCCCATCGTTAAGCAATAAGTCGTTAACAGGGTTGGTCGTTAAGAGAGGTTCTAGTCTTTCCAACTATACACTACACTACTTTACACTACTATATATGTAGTGGTGGTATTGACGAGCGCCGGCAGTGATGGATCACGGGGCGCGGGGTTGGGCACGCGATGTGGGCGTGGCATGGACGCGCGCGCCGGTGGTAAGGCGCGCTCACACAAGCTGGGAAAAGAGGATCGTAGCGAGTGCGCAGTGATTGGTCAGATAAGTGGGTGCTCTCAGCGACGTCCGCAGGAGGGGTATAAAGGGGGACGCGCGAGAGCACTCGTGGTCAGTGTTAACCAGTTGAAGACCGAAGACGGGGTGGAGGAGGTAGTGGCCCGAGACCCCTAGTCCCGCCGTCCTTGTGGGGACCGGGGCCCTGTGTGGCTCAGAGCCGAGACTGGGGGACCGTAGTCCGACGCCCGTGTGGGTCGGGACGGTGGTACCCAGAGCCGAGACGGGCACCCCGGCTGGGTGTGTCCCGGAAGGCTACGGGGCGTAAGAGCCCGTGTCAGTACAGCTGAGTGGGTGTTAGTCACCCGAGTAGCTAAGGAGGGTGTTGGTCACCCGTGTAGCTGAGTGGGTGTTGGTCACCCGTGTAGCTGAGTGGGTGTTGGTCACCCGTGTAGCTGAGTGGGTGTTAGTCACCCGTGTAGCTGAGTGGGTGTCCGTCACCCGTGTAGCTAAGTGGGTGTTGGTCACCCGTGTAACGAAGTAGGGTGTTAGTCATCCGTGTAACTACAAGTTGGTGAAAATAAAGAGTGTGCTACCCGTGAAGTCGTCTCCTGCCGAGTTACTACTTTACAACTGGCGTCAGAAGTAAACCTGTCTTCAAGGAGAATGGACACAAGGAAGACTTCTCGTTCCCACGTGCAAGACCGGGGAGACGACGACGTACCGGTGACACCACCCTCGGGAGGAGAGGACGAGGAGTTGCCGCCGATGCAGCACTTCGCGGAAATGGCCGATGCTCCGCCCGCCTCCGACACCAGCCTGCAGGACGCACACTCCCGCCTGGCGGAGTTGCTGCTCGCCGCCGCTGCGATCTTGGCGGAGATCTCCGTTCCAGCGGCCGGTGGAACGCCTGCGGGGTTGGAAGAGGCGGCGCGGCTGGAGGGTTCCCGCCATAAGGCGTTTCGCGCCAAAAGTTTTGGAGTTGGCGCCATTTTTGAGGGTCCGCCTCCGGTTGGCGGGAAACGCGGACACCACGTGGCCAGAGGTCTCCACACAGCGCAGCCCGCGTCATCGGCGAGCGCCGGAGCTCTCCATTTTGCGCCTGCAGAGGGAGCCGACATTTTCTACAACCACAGCGGCGCGCGGGAAAATCGTTCCAACGACGACGACGACGATCGAGTTCTCCAGCAACGATTGCCCGCGCTGTCGGTGTTCAAGGCGGACGGGGGCGACTGGGGAGCCTTCCAGCGACGGTTCATCGCGCATCAAGAAATGTCGGGGTGGTCCGACACCACTGCCCTGCGCGCGCTGCCAGCGATGCTCGACGACGACGCGCTTGCGGCCTTCACGTCTGCCCCGAGGTCGTCCCGCTCAACGCTCCAGGCCGCGCTGCACCTGTTGGCCAAGGTGTTCGGGCCGCCCTCGACCTGTCGCCACCAGTTCTACGATCGGCGGAAGGTGGTTGGAGAAACAACGCTCGCCTATCGCACGGCGCTGCTCGCCCTGGCGGATTCAGCTTTTCCCCGCATGGACAAGGAGGGGAAGGACGCCATGGTGACGGAGCAGCTGCTGGCGCTGGCTCACGGATTGGGAGTTCCCATTAATACGGCGGACGAAATGGACATCTGCTCCCTGGGGATTGCCACGAGTATCCACGCTTACGAGGTCCTACAGCGGAAGCCGACGGTCGTCTGCGCATCGGTGGAGAACGGGGCACCGGCCGCCACGATCATCGGACCTCAGCCTGCTGTGCCTCGGGAGGAGGCCTTCGCTGGTTCGAGGCCGGGGGAGTGGAGAACGGGAGGTCGTTCGCCCACACGCTCCTCCCGCAAGCTGGAGCAACCGAAACCTACGACGTCCCTCGTCGTCTGCTACAACTGCGGCCTTCGAGGCCACGTCGCGTCTGGGTGCCGGGCCCCGCGTCAACGCACCGCGGGACCACGTCCGGACGACGACCAGGGACTCAAGACATCCCAACTGAACCCGGCAAGTCGCGGCACCTCACACGTTCGGTCCACACGCACGGCACGTTCGGGTCGCCGCTTAGCGGTGGGGGGACCGTGTATGGGCGCCGGGGGTTCGGTTCGGCGAGAGGGGTCCGCGTACGGCCCGAAGGCAGTCGAGTGGTCCGAATTGGCCCACAGGATTGTGGCTGCGTCGGCCGGGTCGTCCGTGGTAACGGGGTACATTGACGGGGTTGAGGTCCGGGTGCTCGTGGACACGAGTGCGTCGGCCACTATTATTTCGGACCTTATTTATAATATTCTTCCCGTACAATGTCGACCACTTCTGCCGGTGGACGTACCATTTTACGCGGCAAACGGGGGATCTTTGGGAATCATCGGCCAGATTCGGGCGAATATTTGTATTGGCGACATTAAATTGGCGGGTCCTATTTTTGTATCATCATCGTTGGCCGTTCCTTGTTTACTAGGCACGGACTTTCTGTCTAAAATGCCCATAAAAATTCTCATAGACCAGGCCTGCATTGAGCTTCCGTCGGGTCGGCGGGTTGAGTTTTT